GGTAAGAACAGCCTTGTGTAGTGTTCTGTAGGGTGAGAACAGCCTTGTGTAGTGTTCTGTAGGGTGAGAACAGCCTTCTGTAGTGTTCTGTAGGGTAAGAACAGCCTTGTGTAGTGTTCTGTAGGGTGAGAACAACCTTCTGTAGTGTTCTGTAGGGTGAGAACAACCTTCTGTAGTGTTCTGAGGGGTGAGAACAACCTTCTGTAGTGTTCTGTAGGGTGAGAACAGCCTTCTGTAGTGTTCTGTAGGGTGAGAACAGCCTTGTGTAGTGTTCTGTAGGGTGAGAACAGCCTTCTGTAGTGTTCTGTAGGGTGAGAACAGCCTTCTGTAGTGTTCTGTAGGGGAGAACAGCCTTCTGTTAGTGTTCTGTAGGGTGAGAACAGCCTTCTGTAGTGTTCTGTAGGGTGAGAACAACCTTCTTGTAGTGTTCTGTAGGGTCGAGAACAGCCTTGTGTAGTGTTCTGTAGGGTGAGAACAGCCTTCTGTAGTGTTCTGTAGGGTGAGAACAACCTTCTGTAGTGTTCTGTAGGGTGAGAACAGCCTTGTGTAGTGTTCTGTAGGGTGAGAACAGCCTTCTGTAGTGTTCTGTAGGGTGAGAACAGCCTTCTGTAGTGTTCTGTAGGGTGAGAACAGCCTTGTGTAGTGTTCTGTAGGGTGAGAACAGCCTTCTGTAGTGTTCTGTAGGGTGAGAACAACCTTCTGTAGTGTTCTGTAGGGTGAGAACAACCTTCCGTAGAGTTTTGTAGAGTGAGAACAACCTTCCGTAGAGTTTTGTAGAGTGAGAACAACCTTCCGTAGAGTTTTGTAGAGTGAGAACAACCTTCCGTAGAGTTTTGTAGAGTGAGAACAACCTTCCGTAGAGTTTTGTAGAGTGAGAACAACCTTCTGTAGAGTTTTGTAGAGTGAGAACAACCTTCCGTAGAGTTTTGTAGAGTGAGAACAACCTTCCGTAGAGTTTTGTAGAGTGAGAACAACCTTCCGTAGTGTTTGTAGAGTGAGAACAACCTTCCGTAGAGTTTTGTAGAGTGAGAACAACCTTCCGTAGTGTTTGTAGAGTGAGAACAACCTTCCGTAGAGTTTTGTAGAGTGAGAACAACCTTCCGTAGTGTTTGTAGAGTGAGAACAACCTTCCGTAGAGTTTTGTAGAGTGAGAACAACCTTCCGTAGAATTTTGTAGAGTGACAACAACCTTCCGTAGAGTTTTGTAGAGTGAGAACAACCTTCCGTAGAGTTTTGTAGAGTGAGAACAACCTTCCGTAGAGTTTTGTAGAGTGAGAACAACCTTCCGTAGAGTTTTGTAGAGTGAGAACAACCTTCCGTAGAGTTTTGTAGAGTGAGAACAACCTTCTGTAGTGTTTGTAGAGTGAGAACAACCTTCCGTAGAGTTTTGTAGAGTGAGAACAACCTTCTGTAGAGTTTTGTAGAGTGAGAACAACCTTCCGTAGAGTTTTGTAGAGTGAGAACAACCTTCCGTAGAGTTTTGTAGAGTGAGAACAACCTTCCGTAGAGTTTTGTAGAGTGAGAACAACCTTCCGTAGAGTTTTGTAGAGTTGAGAACAACCTTCCGTAGTGTTTGTAGAGTGAGACAAACCTTCCGTTAGAGTTTTGTAGAGTGAGAAACAACCTTCTGTAGAGTTTTGTAGAGTGAGAACAACCTTCCGTAGAGTTTTGTAGAGTGAGAACAACCTTCTGTAGTGTTTGTAGAGTGAGAACAACCTTCCGTAGAGTTTTGTAGAGTGAGAACAACCTTCTGTAGAGTTTTGTAGAGTGAGAGAACAACCTTCCATAGAGTTTTGTAGAGTGAGAACAACCTTCCGTAGAGTTTTGTAGAGTGAGAACAACCTTCCGTAGAGTTTTGTAGACTGAGAACAACCTTCCGTAGAGTTTTGTAGAGTGAGAACAACCTTCTGTAGAGTTTTGTAGAGTGAGAACAACCTTCCGTAGAGTTTTGTAGAGTGAGAACAACCTTCTGTAGAGTTTTGTAGAGTGAGAACAACCTTCTGTAGAGTTTTGTAGAGTGAGAACAACCTTCCGTAGAGTTTTGTAGAGTGAGAACAACCTTCTGTAGTGTGTTTTGTAGAGTGAGAACAACCCTTCCGTAGAGTTTTGTAGAGTGAGAACAACCTTCCGTAGAGTTTTGTAGAGTGAGAACAACCTTCCGTAGAGTTTTGTAGAGTGAGAACAACCTTCCGTAGAGTTTTGTAGAGTGAGAACAACCTTCCGTAGAGTTTTGTAGAGAGAGAACAACCTTCCGTAGGTTTTTGTAGAGTTGAGAACAACCTTCCGTAGTGTTTGTAGAGTGAGAACAACCTTCCGTAGAGTTTTGTTGGTGAGAACAACCTTCCGTAGTGTTTGTAGAGTGAGAACAACCTTCCGTTAGAGTTTTGTAGAGTGAGAACAACCTTCCGTAGAATTTTGTAGAGTGACAAAACCTTCCGTAGAGTTTTGTAGAGTGAGAAAACCTTCGTAGAGTTTTGTAGAGTGAGAAACAACCTTCCGTAGAGTTTTGTAGAGTGAGAACAACCTTCCGTAGAGTTTTGTAGAGTGAGAACAACCTTCCATAGAGTTTTGTAGAGTGGAGAACAAACCTTCTGTAGTGTTTGTAGAGTGAGAACAACCTTCCGTAGAGTTTTGTAGAGTGAGAACAACCTTCTGTAGAGTTTTGTAGAGTGAGAACAACCTTCCGTAGAGTTTTGTAGAGTGAGAACAACCTTCCGTAGTGTTTGTAGAGTGAGAACAACCTTCCGTAGAGTTTTGTAGAGTGAGAACAACCTTCCGTAGTGTTTGTAGAGTGAGAACAACCTTCCGTAGAGTTTTGTAGAGTGAGAACAACCTTCCGTAGAGTTTTGTAGATTGAGAACAACCTTCCGTAGTGTTTGTAGAGTGAGAACAACCTTCCATAGAGTTTTGTAGAGTGAGAACAACCTTCCGTAGAGTTTTGTAGAGTGAGAACAACCTTCCGTAGAGTTTTGTAGAGTGAGAACAACCTTCCGTAGTGAAGAATTAAGACACTTATGCAACACATGGGAATCTTTATTGAAGAATCGTTTCGCCACACAGTGGCTTCATCAGTCCAATACAAAGTAGAAATGGTTGAGGAGAGGAGAAGTTCGAGGTAATCAGTCCCTCAACCTGGAAACGATGTGTTTAGTCCATCACTCTTGTAGGAAGTGCAGCATAGATCAGATCAGATCAGGACTCACAGGTAAGGACCCACGAGGGGCGAGGGGCAAGTGGGGACAGTGCGAAGAATAGATGGTGAGAGGTATGTCTTGAGTCGAAGAGAGAAGAGTCAGGAAGACCCGTAGGGACAATAGAGCCAATGCAACTTAGATCAAGATCGATCGGACTCCAGGAAAGACCCACGATGGAGTCGCAAGATGGGACATCAGACCAATAAGGAACGAGGGAGTGCAGATAGATCAATCAGATCAGGATCACAGGAGACCACAGATTAAAAAGATCAGATCAGATCAGGACTCACAGGTAAGGACCCACGAGGGAGTGCAGCATAGATCGGATCAGATCAGGACTCACAGGTAAGGACCCACGAGGGAGTGCAGCATAGATCAGATCAGATCAGGACTCACAGGTAAGGACCCACGAGGGAGTGCAGCATAGATCAGATCAGATCAGGACTCACAGGTAAGGACCCACGAGGGAGTGCAGCATAGATCAGATCAGATCAGGACTCA